TGTTAGTTTCTGCTTTCCTTCACTGTGCAGCTCTGCTTGTCACGAGACAGGTGTTTACATTCCACAGTCTGTACTGTTGGAGTTTCTCACGGGAAAGGGAGACTGGATGTGACGTACACTGGTTTCCTGTTTTTCACTGTGTGATTCTCTCCGAGCTGTTGAGGAGAGAGGATGCATTTTTCTGCTCCTGCAGAGGCAAGATGTCTTTCTGTAATATACCAGCTTTGAACTGTAAATAAAGCAATATAGAGTATGTAGCACGTATTACTCATCCTTCCGCTGGGCACGACAGGCTCTGCTTTAAATCAACACGTGGTTATGGGCCCAGAGGTCGAATCGGAGTGCCGGCAAAGGATCGGAATGCAGAGGGACAGATCGGAACGGAATCTGCTCTGCGCGTAGAAGTGATTGATGAGGTATGTGCTACTGCTCCGGGCAGCCTTCCAGCGTCAAGTTAATGGCTTTATGGCTGGACTGTTTGTGTCTTTTACACCGCAGGAAGGTGCGATTCACCAGGCGGATGACCACACTATTCCCAGTAAAGGCTACGGAACTGTTGTTCTTCACAGTTTGGACTTATCGATACAGAATGTGCTTTACGTGCCAGACGCCAAACATAATCTGCTCAGCGTTGGACAGCTGAATGAGCGGAACATTGACGTTTCCTTCAAGAACAAGAAGTGCATCATCACAAAGAAAAATGATTATGTATTGCATGCAGAATATGTTGATCATTTGTTTGTTTTGTATTATGATGATGTGATGCAGGATGACACTTGTTGCATTGCAGGTTCTAACAAAAGTTTGCATGCAGAATGTATTCACGATTTTCATCGAAAATTTGGTCATTTGCATTTTGAGGCAGTATCTAAAATGCCTGCCTTGGTTGAAGGTATGACTATTAAACCCTGCAGGTACCACATGAAGTGCAAAGCATGCGCAGCAAACAAGGTAAAATGGCTGCGAAAGGTAAGGTGTCTAGTAGGAAAGCTACAGTACCATACCAGGTTGTTCATGCTGATTTGGTTGGACCACTAGCGCCCTCTTTGGGTGGAAATAGATACTTCATGGTTCTCATTGATGCATTTTCTAAATATATTTTTGTGTACAATCTCAAGCAGAAATCGGAGGCTTTTCCTAGGTTCAAGGAATTCTGTGCTTGGTTGGAAAATGTGCATGGTAAGAAGATAAAGACTCTTTTCAGTGATCGCGGGGAATTCACTTCTCAGCAGTTTGAAGCTTTTCTGACTGAGAAAGGAATTCAACACGATTTGTCTAGTCCTCGCTCGCCATGGCAGAATGGACTTGCGGAGACGGGCAAATCAGACCTTGCTTCAAGGCTTAAAAACCTTGCTGCATGATGCCAATCTTCCAAAGAGTTATTGGGCCGAATCTCTCTCGTGTTTTGTTTACAGTTACAATCGCAGGTTATCTTCAGCGATTGGTTGTACTCCTATGAGAAGATGTTTGGCAAGAAGCCATACATCAAACACATGAAGATTTTTGGTTCTGACATGTGGGTTCGCTCACCACAAAACTCCAAGTTAGACAAGCGTGGATTGCATGGTATCTTTCTAGGTTATCAGAAAGGGTCTTACAGAATAATGATGACTGACTCTAAGACAATTAAGCTCACGAGAAGTGTTGAGTACAATGCAAAGTGGGGGAGAATGTGGGAATTTTCCAATGTTATCCTGATGACGGTGATGAGACTGAGGATAGTCAAAAGCAACCACAGCAGCCCACACCCACTGATGAAGGTTCTGAGTCTGAATCTGAAAATGAATCGGGTGATTCAGAGGATTTCAAGAGTGCGAAAGCCTCTATGCGACCCTCTGAAAGCTCTGATCAAGAATTGGAGGAACCATTGTTCACAATAGGTCGTTTTTCTCCTAAGAAGGAAGAGGAGAGTGTTGAAGACTTAAGGATAATTCGTAGGTCACAGAGAGCCACAAAAGGCAAACCTCCAAAGAGATTTGCTGATGAGTTTGCTAAGATAGCAGTAACAGCTGTTAAAAGCTCCAAGAAGGTATTTGAACCTTCAAGTTTCCAAGAAATCCAGGGTTTGGATTCAAAGGAAGCTGAGCCATGGTTAAATGCCATGAAGGCTGAGCTTGATTCCTTAGAAAGGAACAAAACATGGGAGCTAGTTCCAGTAGTTCCAGGAATGAAACTGCTTGGAAGCAAATGGGTCTTCAAAGCGAAGACAGATCAAAATGGCAAGATAGTCAGACACAAAGCCAGATTGGTAGCCAGAGGTTTTGCACAGGTACCAGGTGAAGACTATCACGAGACCTATTCACCCACAGTGAGATATGAAAGCATTAGGCTTATGCTTAAGCTAGCTGCAGAGGAAAATCTACACATTAGTCACCATGATATTAATACAGCTTTTCTGTACGGATCTCTAGATGAATCACTTTATATGCTTCCACCTGATGGCGTACAGGTAAAACAGGGATTTGTTTGTGCTCTGAAGAAATCCCTTTATGGTCTCAAACAAAGTGCACGGTGTTGGCACACAAAACTCACTGAAGTATTGTTTTCTCTAGGTTTTCAGCAAGGAAAGCTGATCCATGTGTATTTGTCAAAGAGGAGGGGCAAAAGAAACTGTACTGTTTGTTTTATGTTGATGATTTATTATTCTTTTGGAAAGATGTCGCAATGTACAATAACGCCTAGCTCAACTGAAAGAGCACTTTGACATGAAAGATCTTGGTGAGGTAAACAACTACCTATCTCTGGAAATAGAGAGAGATCAAGATGGTAACATTCTAGTACACCAGTCACGGAAAATTGCTGATGTGTTAAGCAAACTAAATCTGATGGATGCTAACCCTGTAGACACACCGATGACAACAGGTTATCAGGTAGATGACACTGAAGAAGCATTTTCTGACACTACACTGTACAGGAGTGTGCTAGGCAAGCTAAACTTCATTGCCAGATGTTCAAGACCAGACATTGCTGTTAGCTGTAATTTGCTAAGCAGACAAGTCAACAATCCTAGTGTCAAGCATTGGAAAGCTCTGAAACGCATAGCGCGGTATTTGAAAGGCACTATGCATTACAGACTGAGATTTAACAATCAGAAGTCTGGTGGTCTTGAGATATTTGCAGATGCAAGTTTTGGAAGTGACGCTACAGACAGGAAAGGTACGTCTGGAGTTTGCTACATGTACAATCAGAGTCTGTTTGATTGGTCATGCAAGAAGCAAACAACAGTTAGCTTAAGTACTTGTGAAGCCGAACTGAATGCACTGTCTTATTCACTTAAGGATTGTGAATGGTTAGTACAATTGTGCAAAGATATGAAAATTCCTGTCAAATGTCCAATCCAGGTTTACCAGGACAACAAAGCATGTTTGGCTTTGCTGAAGTCTGAAGGTTGTAAGCAAAGCACAAAGCACTTGCAATTAAAGTTGCAGCATGCTAGGGAATGTATTCAGAAGGGACTCGTAACGGTGTCCTATATGCCAGGTAATGAAATTCCTGCTGATGTATTGTCCAAGATTGTATCAAGGGATCAACACTGTACCTATGTGCAGAAGTTGGGTTTGTACTGATATTGTGCAAACACGCTGCCCAGTGATGTTCACAGAAAGGGGAAGGTGTTGGTTTCTGCTTTCCTTCACTGTGCAACTCTGCTTGTCACGAGACAGGTGTTTACATTCCACAGTCTGTACTGTTGGAGTTTCTCACGGGAAAGGGAGACTGGATGTGACGTACACTGGTTTCCTGTTTTCACTGTGTGATTCTCTCCGAGCTGTTGAGGAGAGAGGATGCATTTTCTGCTCCTGCAGAGGCAAGATGTCTTTCTGTAATATACCAGCTTTGAACTGTAAATAAAGCAATATAGAGTATGTAGCACGTATTACTCATCCTTCCGCTGGGCACGACAGGCTCTGCTTTAAATCAACATAGACCATGTGAAAAATGAACATAAGATTTTAGCTGCAGTTCATTCATTTTCAGCTTTGTATTCTTGTTATTAAAAATGCTAGTCTACTGTTAATTGTGAAAGAGTCTTGCTTATTCTTCTAATAAAGTTAATCCTTTAAGAAATACTTTATCATTGCTTTACCATTTTTGATTGGCCACTTGACTAAATCGGACTAGCCCAGGGGTCTGCAACCTTTAAGACAAAAAGAGCCACTTGGACCCGTTTCTGAAGAAAAAAAACTGGGAGCCGCAAAACCATTGCAATATTTAAAACAAATATAACACTGCATATATTGTTTCTTACCTTAATGTCCGATCTGACAGCGGGTGGGAAGGTGACGTCAGGACGGTGCGTGACTAACGCACGCACCACCCCCATGCAACATCACAGCCAGTACAGCGCCCGCCACAGTGGGGAGTGTCGGGGCGCAAAATGCGCCTCCTCCCCTCGCTAGTATCCGCCCCGGAGCCGCGGCAAAGGTGTAAAAGAGCCACATGCGGCTCTGGAGCCGCGGGTTGCAGACCCCTGGACTAGCCAAATGCCCAGTCCTAGGCCTGGCATCCTTGGGTAGCTGACATTGGCAATACCTGGGATTTCTGATGCCTCCTTCATCATCCGAGTCCCCAACTCGAATTTCAGCGCCATTTATCCTTTCCGCACAACAGTCCCCTCGATTGGTGATCACTACACTGGACACATCAAATCTTTCCCTAAGGTCCACTGTCCACCACGGATTAGCTTCTTCTTGGGTGTGAGTGCAGTGTCCACGCAAATAGTCAGCAGAGGTAGAGCCATCATTGGCATGCTCAGCAGATCCCAGATCATCGAAGATGCTGGACTGGAATGCCTTTCCTTCAAGAGCGGCATTGTAGACTACAAGAAAAGAAAAAACCAATGGAAGAGAGGTGTTTCCACTAATAAACAGCTTAGCAAAACTATCCAGAAGGAAAAGGAACTTGCAAAGTAGGCTCTCAAATATTAGTGGAATGAATAATTAACATTTGGGGGTTCTGTGCACACCAGGACATTGCATTCATGCATACATGAGTCCTTGTTTCTGTATGTGTATTTGAGCACCTCCATCCACAAGAGGGCTTTTACTTTATTCTTCCCAAATCTCATGTTCCCATCCACAGTTGTAGGGACTGCTTGATAGGATGTACTTAGGGAAGAGTGGTTTATGATATCAAGAGTAGTATTTTAACATTGGCACTTATAAATCAAGTGTCCTCTGTGTGAGCATACAGGAACTCTTGGGTAGGTTTCCTATGCAATCCATAAGAAAAATACATATACCACCAGGTTTGATAGTTCACACCCATCTTCAGTAAAAGGGTCAGCTTACCCGTTGTATAGGGTTGCCAGTTCTCTTTTGCTTCTTCCCATGGCTGTTTGGGTTCTCTTGGCTTTTCCCATTGTTCAATTGGTGAAAAAACTAGTGGAAGAAATCAATGTAAGTAAAAGATTAGCAATATATGAGAAAGATTTCATTCTGGGTGCTTCGTTGTATTTCCAAAAAACATAACAGGTAGCAAGTCTGAATGAGTTTAGTGTGAATCCAGCTCCAAGAAGCAAAGTTAGTTCCAAGAAAAAATGAACTTCAACTCCCATCATGCCTGGCCATTGGCCATGCAGGTGGGGGCTGATGGGAGTTGGAGTCCAATAAGATCTGAAAGGTCCCAGGTCACTGCCTTAAGGATTCCTGGGTGGGAAGGAGGGCTGTGTCCTGAAAGTTGAAATGAGCCGCCTTATAGCGGCTTAGGAACAAGAGGGACAAGTGTAGAGTTGCTGGAAGTGTTTGGTGAGGTGAAGAAGACCAAATTTACCATATTGATTCAAACTAATCAGCTAAATAAATACTGGTTGTTCATGTCTTGTATATAATGTTTTAGGCTTTTGGAACACATGAATGTGAGGAGCATTTACTGACCTTCTGCTTCTTGCGTAGTTCCAGATGAGGTCTCTTTTTCATCTCCTAGTCAAAACATATATTGAGTGTCAAAGCAACACTTCCTATGTGATGAAAATATCTGAGCCATGCCAAACCTTACTTAGAAAACAACAACCCCAAGTATACTTGGTTGATGGGGATCCCTGGTATCACAAACCCCCAAATAGCACAGAACTTGAGAAGAATTTTGTCAGTGTCCCACAGGAATATCAATGAATATAATGGGTATGGGAAAAGGGAAGAACAGGTGTAAACATTCTAGACTGAGTCAACAATCGAACTCTGAGCCTTCTACTAACTAAAGTTGCCAGCTTTCTACTGGTAAAGCTTCCATGCCTCTAGGGGACCAGGGTAGAGGTTTACAGGCACAGCTTTACCCTCAGGGCATCAGCATTTTTTTCAGGCGGATGTTAAAGTCATCTATATTGTTATGTACTAAGTTGAATAGGATCCAAACTGCAGCAGTCTGATTGGTCCTAGAACAATAGGATCCAAAAGGCAGCAGTCTGATTGGTCCTAGAACAATAGGATTCAGAATGCAGCAGTCTGATTGGTCCTAGAACAATGCAGCAGTATGATTGGTTGGCAGGAACTACCCAATCATGCTCCAGATAGAAGTGAATCCACAACCTGATTGGCTTACAGTAGAATCCGGAATTAGCCAATCATGTGCAGCCCATTGTGTAAATAATGTATATAAAGCAGATACTTGGAGGGGACATTCATTCATTCCTCCTCACCACTATGAGCTGAATAAAGAGCATGAAATCACTTTGCGACTCTGAGTATATTTCATATATGTTGTCTGTTGTAGGGCAAGTGAGCATGGCTTTCCTGATATAGTCCCCTGGCCAAAACAGGGAGGCCTAGCAAGCCTATATAGGCCTATGGGCTAAAATTTCCCGCCTCTGGTGTACATCATCACTTGATACTGCAGTTATTAAAAGACAAAGAAGCACATGTGACATGAAGCATCTCATAGAAGAGATGGCTTCCTTCTCCAGAGGTTCCCTTGCCATTAAAGACTTCCTAACCTAGACATCTCCCCTCCATTTCTTTTCAAGGACAACATCGGTCAGCAGCCCACCAAACCACAACATGACAAGGAAACCTCCGCACTTACCTGAGGAAGGTAGCTTTTCACCAAACACTTCAACTTCACACAGTGAGAGGATACGAATGCCTGGGATGGTGATAGTCACATAACGTCCTTGCAATTCTCCACAGTCAAAAATGGCTGTTGCCCCTGGGGCCAATGACCTGATTGTCGCACACCTTGAATGGAAACCAGTTTGTGTGTCAGTATTAACCAGAAGTCATACTGCAGGATAGGTGAGAGGCAACATGTCTCTGAATATCAGTTACTAGGGTCAATGGCTGAAGAGGGCTGTTGTCCTCATGTTCTATATATGGGGTCCCAGCAGGCATGTGGTTGGCTACTACAGAACACAAGGTGCTAGACTATTCGATCTTGGCCTTCGTCTGATCTAGCAGGGCTCTTCTTAGGATCTTAAGGAAGAAAAGTCAGGTATGATCCCATCAATAACATCACTCTGTTACCGTACCATGGATTTGTGATTCCTCCTTTTACTGGTGAGCTTCCAATTCGGATTTCAGCCCCATTTATCCGCCTCGCACAGCAGTCTCCTCGATTGGTGATGCTAACCCTGGACACACGAAACTCTGCTCCCAAATCCACTGTCCACCATGGATTAAATTCTAGTTCTGTGTGTGTGCAGCTGCCACGCATATAGTCACTAATTATATGCCCATCGATGGCATTCTCAGGGTTTCCAAGGTCATTGTAGATACTGGACTGAAATGCTTTCCCTTCAAGAGCCACATTGGGAACTATAAGAAAGAGCAGAAAATCTTGAAAGAATCTTGAAAGTGTTCAGGATCCAATGAGCCCAAGATCTTATTCCCCATTTGGTTTGATTTCATTTCATATACAAACACAGCAGCTCAGGAGCGTCAAGTCCAGCAGGTCTATGTGAATGTCTGGATTTAGTACAGTTTAAGGTTACTTTTTATCTTCTTTTTTTTTGGGGGGGGGGAATGTAATTGTTTTGATTTGATTTAGACCAGACCATTCATTGTTTTCTTCTGTGTATGTTTTATTATTGACTTAGTAAATCACACAGCTGCATCCTGTATTTCTTTATAAGCAATTGTGATTATTTTTTAAAATAATGCTTATTTCATTTCTTTTTTACGTAACCTGTCTGCACTTAAATCACTGAGCAATGGTGATGAGAATATACAAAATGGATCTGCAATAAATATATGAATGAATTATAAGTGCTAGTCTTATTATTAAAGTTGGGGGCCCATCAATCAGTGGGTGAGCAAATGCCTTGAATTCTCACGTCCTAAATTCATTCACCAGCAGCTCCAGTTGAAGCGGGGATGGGGCATCCATGGCCCTCCAGATTGGTTGGACTCCAACTCCTATCAACACAAACCACTGTCCAATGGCCAAGGATGGATGAACTCAGCAGCTTCCCTTGAGTTAAAGGATATCAGGAAGTAGCGCTGAGTGACTTTAAAGAACTCACATTGCAGAAATTGCTTAAAAGTTGCTGAATCATGCCCAAACTGGCATCCACATTTACAAGACTACACCACCAGCAACATTCCTTCCCAACTAGCAGTATGCAATGGTCTACTTACCAGAAGTGTTAACTTGTTCTCCTGGTGTGAGTGGCTTGTTCTTCTCTGGCTCATGGCCGGCTGCCAAAGAAATTTATAATAAAAAGAAATAAAAGGCTTAGCTGAGTGTGCTGGTCCCGGGGGTAAGGTACCTTGGGTGTAGCAGAGTCCACACGAAGAGGGGCAAGGTCCGAGGCA